CTTAATTACGGCTGTTATTTTTGTCAACAGTCTCCTTTTGATTTGCTGGTTGTGGATCAGAATTCAAGTCAAGCTGGTTTAGTCATAAAACCTCTCTGAGCCCAGTCTGAATCTGACTCCCAGTCTGCTGGTGGGAGTTGTGGAGCTGCAAGGGAGGGTTTGATTGGATGCAGGTGTTGAGCTCTGGTGTGGAAATAGTGTCATGGTGTGGGTATAGAGTGTGCCAGGTTACATGGCCGGGGGTTTTGAGAGACATACATATTTATAATAAGGTATAATAAAATATTTCAAAGAATAATGTGTAGACAGGGGATTGATATATCGGTAATGTATGGTAATATCACTTGTCAAAAGTCTGAACAAAGCATGACACTCTTTGGCTTCTATTTCAACTTCTGACGTTTTTTGATTTGTATCACAAGCCCGCTGTTGTCTATTCAATCATTTTATGAGCTGAGGCCCATCTGAAATCAGAATAATCCTCAGACTCAGAGGTAAAATAAAAGACATATGTAACTAAAAGTTAATGACTGCAGTGAGACATATTTAGGCTAGTGTGTTCATTTTCCCAGTCCACAATAAACACGCACTCAGGCACCGCTGTGTCTTTGGGCATCTTTACAGGCTAGTTGCAGCCATGCCTTAGCCCCACCCCGCCTACCCACCCGGAGATAGTGTTTCTGCTTGGACATCTGTCCAGGGTTGGCAGTTGCAGATGTTGTTGACGGCTGTGAAGCTGAGAGGAAGTTCCAGCCACTCCAAAGTCCAAATGTTTCTTTTTTCATTTCCCTGTTTTGGCTTTTTTTTTCTTTTTTCAGATCTGTAAGAAGAGGAGGTATTCCTTTGGGAATGATAGGAACCAGATTTGCGTGGCTGTCTTTTCTTAGATCACAGATCTTACGTGTATGGATTTTTTGTTTCTTCTAAAAGGAGGATCTTGTTTAATGGGGAATTCCAGTATACTTTGATTATAGCAAAGCAAAATCTTTAAAAGCATACTCAGACACCAACACACACACATGCACACTAAGCAGATGACTCATACTGTAGCATCGTCCGACACACAGCTGAGTTTAATTGAGACCTCCTGTGAGCCTGGGAATTGATGCCAGCCTGCACCAAGTTTTCTTGTGTGCATTGTGGAAGCAGCTTTTCTGATTGATATATTGCTCTGAGACTGTTACCAAGGATAGAGATGGGCATTCAGAGGCATTGTTGTATTTCTGAACAATCCATGTGTTTCTAAAGCCCTCTTTAGTCAAGTTTAACTAGTTTCATATGACGTGAAAGGAGAAAAGGTACATTTTAAAATCCTCATCCAAGCACAGATGAAGTCTGTGTAACAGAGCCTTGTTTATTCAGTTGGTTATTGTCTTGGAATCATGAATGTTTTTGCATTAAGCTTTTGTTGTTCATTTTTGCGTCTTTCCTTTCCCATTGCTATATTTCCTTAGTGTCCTGGATCAATTACTGAAAGCATTACAGCATCAACAAAAGATTTATTTTCTCTTTTTTCCTCAAGGCTATGGCTGCTATCAAAGCCTGCAAAAGAGAATTTAAGATACTCTTGATTGTTCAGTTCGCTTCTCTATAGTACTGTGCTGCGCTATCATAGCCCTTTCATCCCGCTTTTTGGACTTCCAGCATTGGGGTGGCCAGTCAGCCAACCAGCCAGCCAGCGCTGATTATTTAAGGGTCCCGAACGCTAAAACTTTGAGGTCAACAGTAACTAATTCTGATGGCCCGTTTTTGACATGTTGAGCTTGTTACGTCAAGTCTAATATATCGGGCTGCATTTTAAGTGAGTCATCCCAGCTCTTAGTTGAAAACCAATTCAGTCGAGGCAAGATTGTTAAGTTTCCCCAGTGTCAGGGGACTTGTCTGCTCCAAGAAAGCCTCCTCAAACATTTCTCACCTTGTTTTATAATGTATTAGTTTCTAACAGTCTTGTTTTGTTTTTGATTTCTGCCTAATCTCCAAGCAGAATCATTTTCTACCTCCATAAAACCTTTCCTTGATACAAGTTTGTAATTATTTTTGTTTCTGCCTAATTGCCAACCCGCTTCATGATGATTATTAGCCGACGGAGAGGTAATTCTCATCAGTATTCACAGAAACGGTTTATATACGCTTCCAACCCTGTGTGTAATCATAGACAACAAATCAGCAATTTATGCTAATAGGGAATAATTTAGTATATGACTGAAATGTGTCCTCTGTGTATACTTTCTGCAGCTTCTGTGAAGTGGATGTGTGATCTCGTGAGCATAGATTTAGTTTTCAATTGTTATCGACTGAGTCATACTTACTGTGCATGACACTATTACACCCCAATAGTGGAGACGACTTGTTCTGACAAAGTGAGTCGTGGGACAGGATGTGGACCCACAAAGTTCCTGTGTAATCGCTGCAGAAATCTCACACACTGTTCCAACTCTGTAAATGGTTTTGTAAGCCTCTGTGTGCTGCTCCTTGCAGCTGAGAATGCAAACTGCTCTCAAATGGAAGTAGAGAATCTAATTGAGTGAGACAAGGGTTTACAATCTCAAGTATCAACCGTAGCAACTCTTGAACTCCGGTAATTAGACATTTAGATACACTAGTTGGACAGTATGGACTCATCATCATGCTTGGGTACACACACACACACACACACACACACACGACTGCAGACTGACTAGCACTTGGCAGAAGGTGCGTTTGATTCCTAATAAGAAGACAGTGTGATGAAGTGTGGGGATAAGGATGGATCTCTATAGATATCGGCCAAGAAGAAACACTTAAACAGCTGGTTGTGCATTTGGTTTCTCACTGTTATTGAGCTGACTGACTGAGCATTGTTGGCATGGATTTAGTTTCTGTGGGATAATGCCTATTTCAAGTATCTCTATGACCTTGAAGAAATAGTTTTTTGTGAAACACGCTCATTCAGCTCAGCTTTGCTTGGACAGAGGAACGCTAGCTGTTTTTGCCTGCTAAGCTGACTGTCTGCATCTCCATATTAAGTGCACAGATGAAAGAGTAGTATAAATATCTTCTTACGCTCTCCCAGAAAGTGAACTAGTCCTTTAAAGCTGGGTTAGGCAACGTTCATCATGATTTCCAGCGTAAACATTGTCCATTCTTCGTGTGGTCCAACTGTATTATTGATTGCTATCGGATGTAAAGATAGCTTCTACAAATACAATAAATAAAGCTTCTGAAATAAAATGGCTACCCTAGCTTTAACTGGCTGTTTACACCAGCCCTCAAGGCTAATGCTCTAATTGATCAGGAATGTTTTTATGCGTCATCAAACATTGTGATTCATTTGACCCATCTCTCACAGTCTTTTGCTATATTAAGAGCTCACTTAGCCTCGATCCATGTCTGTGCTTTAAGCGTCCCGGTTGTCTGATCGACTGAGTCAGGCAGACTCCTTACACTAATGGCTTCCATCGGTCCGGCCGGGCCTGGCGCATTATGGTGGTGAGGCGGCAGAGTTTGTGGTGATTCTGGCAAAGTCTCTTAGATGACGAGGCAAGCCGGCAAGTTGTGGTGGAGGTGGGGGGTTAACGGAACCTTTGGGGCCTGACACTAACTCAGATCTTCAAAGCCAAGGTTGGACTGGGGATTGGGAGGCAATGTGGGACTTTGGGATTGGAAGGGTTAGGGGGCAACAAACATCATCTGTAATTGAGGTTTGGGTTTTTATACAGGCTTGCATATTCTCCCTTAAATCTTTCATGTCTGTTGAGCATGTCCCAGCCAGTCCCAGCACCAAGTGCAGCTGGAAGAAGGCTGAGCTGGAGACTGAGATCTCAAATAACATCGCAGAGAAAGCACACAAACATATGTATGTAACACAAATGAGACACACACACACACACACACACACACACACACACACACACACACACACACACACACACACACACACACTCTGGAGGGTAGTAGTATGGTCTCTGACCTGTCTGATTAAAATGTACATGCACAAGCAAAGCTAAGTGAATATTTCCTTCCATTCGTCTTTCTTTGTGTCTGTGTTGACAAGATGATTGTACGTTAATTTGTATGTCTGTTGTCTGGGAGTCATGCTGTCCCAATTAAAAGCAGTGCTCTACTAATCGTGTGTGTGTGTGTGTGTGTGTCTGACCGACAAGTGTATACAGAAACGCATACACACATACAGGTACACATACATGTACACAGCTATCATCTGTGTGTTTGTGGTTACAGTCAATCTATAGGAATAGCCTCAACAAACTATAGGCATACCCAACAACACTCCAGCTGCACTGCTATGCTCTGTAATTTGTACATCGAAACCACAGAGCTCTAATGTCGCCTGGCTGACTTTCAGAGCCGTGGGAGATTAGGATCCCCCTGCGATGTCTCGCCCCTCCATTCTCTGCCAGTCCCTTTTTTTTTTTTTTTTTTTGTCTAAACATGACTTAAATGAATTGAACCCAAGTAAAAATGAATGCTAACTAGCATATCATGTAATGGAGCCCAGGGGAAAAAATAAACTTGTAAACTTGTAAGAAAAAAAAAACATAATTGAATTGAATGGACCATAAAGTTACTTTCCAACTTGATGTATAAACAGAGAGTTTATACACCGTGAGAGCAGCAGAACTGAAATGTTTATTTACGTCTCTCAGATACCACTGCATGACTCTTTCCTTCATGCAGTGTTACTTGGTGTGTTTGTGTGACACCGTGCTTGTACACACCAATGGCTGTAATCAATAAATGAACATAAACACATCAGATAGGACATAAATGAGGCTCTCTGTCGTTTGTTTGTTTTATTTTTTTTTTGTTTCCAGTGGTGTGTGCTGTAGATCATTGCAGACTCAGACAGATTTTTGCTTTTCAAACTGAGCTGGGTGAAGAAGATTCAGATCTATTACACTTTTATGTGGAAATGTGAGGCAGATTAACATTAATTCATATTGACAATGGGCTGAAAATGTCAGTTATGGTTGACTTGTCCTCTCCCTCCTTGTCTGTCCCAGGTGCTGCGTGGGGCTCAGCTCATAGCGGTGGCGTCAGCTGATGGCGGGGCCACAGCAGTAGAGGGTTCCCCACTCCCTCCTGACATCCAAGTGCAGTACGTCCAACTAGCCCCCGTCGCAGATCACACAGCAGCCGTACAGGTAAAACAACAATGCTCACACAAACTCTGCCAGGCTCTCGCACATGTGTACACACACACAGATTGTAACTGGGTAGCATTCCAAGTGCTGGAGTGTGCAGCTATCATCTGAGGTGAAACAGACCCTAGTACTCATCTAAATCATTCTACATGTTTGTTTTTTAACCAATCTATAATAAATAACTGTGTTCCCCACCTCTTTTCCTCAATCTGAAGTACATCACGCAGTAATCAGCCATTCTTCAGTGATGACATTAATCTGTCCTGTATACTCAGTACTCTGCAAGAAGTCCCAGGATTGAACTGATATGTGCAGAGCTTATATATATATATATATATATATATATATATATATATATATATATATATATATGCTGGTCATATAATTAGAATATCGTCAAGTTGATTTATTTCAGTAATTCCATTCAAAAAGTAATACTTGGATATTATATTAATTCATTACACACAGACTGATATTTCAAATGTTTATTTCATTTAATTGTGATGATTAAAACTGACAACTAATGAAAATCCCAAATTCAGTATCTCCGAAAATTACCAATACAAAAGACCAATACAAAAAAAGGATTTTTTGAAATGTTGGCCAACTGAAAAGTATGAACATGAAAAATATGAGCATGTACAGAACTCAATACTTAGTTGGGGCTCCTTTTGCCTGAATTACTGCAGCAATGCGGCGTGGAGTCGATCAGTCTGTGGCACTGTTCAGGTGTTATGAGAGCCCAGGTTGCTCTGATAGTGGCCTTCAGCTCTTCTGCATTGTTGGGTCTGGCGTATCGCATCTTCCTCTTCACAATACCCATAGATTTTCTATAGGGTTAAGGTCAGGCTAGTTTGCTGGCCAATTCAGAACAGGGATACCATGGTCCTTAAACCAGGTACTGGTAGCTTTGGCACTGTGTGCAGGTGCCAAGTCCTGTTGGAAAATGAAATCTGCATCTCAATAAAATTGGTCGGCAGCAGGAAGCATGAAGTGCTCTAAAACTTCCTGGTAGACGGCTGCTTTGACCTTGGACCTCAGAAAACACAGTGGACCAACACCAGCAGATGACATGACACCCCAAACCCTCACTGACTGTGGAAACTTTACACTGGACTTAAAGCAACGTGGATTCTGTGCCTCTCCTCTCTTCCTCCAGACTCTGGGACCTTGATTTCCAAAGGAAATGCTAAATTTACTTTCATCAGAGAACATAACTTTGGACCACTCAGCAGCAGTCCAGTCCTTTTTGTATTTAGCTCCGGTGAGATACTTCTGACGCTGTGTCTTGTTCAAGAGTGTCTTGACACAAGGAATGCGACAGCTGAAACCCATGTCTTCCATACGTCTGTGCGTGGTGGTTCTTGAAGCACTGACTCCAGCTGCAGTCCACTCTTTGTGAATCTCCCCCACATTTTTGAATGGGTTTTGTTTCACAATCCTCTCCACAGTGCGGTTATCCCTATTGTTTGTACACTTTTTTTCTACCACATCTTTTCCTTCCCTTCGCCTCTCTATTAATGTGCTTGGACACAGAGCTCTGTGAACAGCCAGCCTCTTTAGCAATGACCTTTTGTGTCTTGCCCTCCTTGTGCAAGGTGTCAGTGGTCGTCTTTTGGAAAGCTGTCAAGTCAGCAGTCTTCTCCATGATTGTGTAACCTACAGAACTAGACTGAGACTGAGAGACCATTTAAAGGCCTTTGCAGGTGTTTTGAGTTAATTAGCTGATTAGAGTGTGGCACCAGGTGTCTTCAATATTGAACCTTTTCACAATATTCTAATTTTCTGAGATACTGATTTTGGGGTTTTCATTAGTTGTCAGTTATGATCATCAAAATTAAAAGGAATGCACACTTGAAATAAATCAACTTTTTGATGATATTCTAATTATATGACCAGCACCTGGATGGATGGATGGATATAGAGAGAGAGATAGAGATTCATTCTGTACAAAGACACTGTAAAATCTGCTGGGAAGTTGGAGAAGCAGTATCTTTTTGGAAGTATATTTTTCTTAAGTAAATGTGCAATTGAATGTTTCCCTTTTAAAGTGACTTAAATTTCACTCAAGTATGTTAGGCTTCTGGATAATTTGTTATGTTATAACCCATAAGTGTAAATATTCCACCTTTGTTCCTTCTAGTGACTTTGTTTGTCGAGTATGTCAAATGGAACTAAATGCACAGTGCTTAAGCCTCATCAGCTGTTTGTGGTGCATGTGAAATCCACAAAAATTACATCTACAGCTAATTCATCATTCATTCCAAACAAACAAGGGATTTGATTCAACCTGATGAACTTGATGAATCCTACAAAGCTCGGCCTCTAACATAAGCCTGCCAAGCTCACAGAGCAAAGCCTAGTTTATTGTACCTTTTGGTTAATTATTATTATATTTAAACAGAACTCGTCTTTTCTGTCCTTTAGTATATATTGGCCAATTTTAGGAATCCACATGTCTTCTTTAGGGGTGTGACGAGACAGTCATCCCACAAGATGAGACAAGATTCGAGATTGGGTTCATGAGATTGAGATGTGACGAGATTTTAACACTATTTTTAAGAAATCTTTAATGCTAATTTATATGAAAATTTTGAGCATTAAACACTTTATTTACAAACTACTCCGCAAGGCCAGTGACGTTGTGGGGGTGGAGCTGGACTCTCTGCCGGTGGTATCAGAGAAGAGGATGCTGTCTAAGCTACATGTCATCTTGGACAATGCCTCCCACCCCCTCCATGATGTGCTGCTCAGACACAGGAACACTTTCATTGCGAGGCTTATTCCCCCAAAATGCACCACAGAGTGCCACTGGAAGTCATTCCTGCCTCTGGCCATCAAACTCTATAACACGTGGACACTTAGTTAGTTTTAAACTAGACATTGTCATCTGTTTCGTGCAATAATACTTAATGTGCAATACTCTCTGCTGCAGTTGTGCTGCTACTATTTATTCATTATTACTGTTCACCATAATAATTCCTTTATTTATGTAAATATTCTACCTTAACAATCCCTTTAACTATGTAAATATTGTACATATCCACACTCCTTTATATTTTCTTATCTTATATTTTTACTCGGATATTTATTTTTATACTTCTTTATAGACCAACTTTCTATATTATATTCCTTTTGCCTTTTGTGCAATGTGTGCAACTGTGACACAGAATTTCCCCTCAGGGATCAATAAAGTATTTCTGATTTATTTCCTGCATTCTGATGAAATTTTCTGCACCAGATTATGGTGGTTTATTGATTGATTTAATTATATAAAGAGAAACACAAAATTCAGGTGGCAGGTGACAATTCAATATCTTTAACAGAATATAATTCTATTCTATTATAGTTTTTTAAAACAAATTTTAAGTCAGTGCAGCTCTCACTCATTCTGTGCTGCAATCAGATCCTGTAGATCAACTTATTTAATATCATCCCTGCAGATTCATGATTTAGTCTTCCCTCCCCTTAGTGTCTTTGTTTGGGGAAGTAACCTCTTTAAATGTGACTGTGGCACCTTTTTACCATAATGATAAATTATTTAATTTTAATTTAACTCCTGGACTTTAATAACTTCTGTGTTTCAGCAGATTTTTTGCTCATGGTCAAAACTTTCTGCACATTCAGAATCTCTCCCATGTAGGCTATCTGTGTTCTCTGACATGTCCAGAAAAAAAGGCAAAATATTACCAGACTACCGTCATCATTTAAGAGAAGTCTACCTGCCCTATACTCTGCTGTGCATTACGTTTTTGTTCTGCTGGTAGTAACGTTATCTGCATCAGATCGCTCGACTGACCCAGTTAGGGACTGCATGCTGCATGTGAAACCGAAAGTAAATAAAACATTTTTGATCCGGCAGAAATCTCACCACAAATCCACACACATTAAAGAGGTGGTATTTTGGTTTTTGGCTTTTTCCCTCTCCTTTATTGAGTTATATATTTTTTTGTGCATGTAATAGGTTTGCAAAGTGAAAAAGTCCAAAGGGGAGGGGAGTTCCCATCTCCCACAGAAAACACTGCTCTCAACTGCCTGAAAACAGCTCGTTTGTAGTCCAGCCTTTACTTCCCTTTCTTGTGACGTCACAATGAAATACGTGTCATAATGCTCGCTACCCTCCAGGCAGTCAGTGGACAGAAAGTTGTTACTGTTGTGATGTAGAGACAGAGCTCAGTTAAAACTTTATGGGTGAAAGATACTTTTGTTACAGTAAAAACTCACCACTCTGAAACTCTTGCTCCAGTCCAAATTGTCAGCCTGATCGGCAACATGTAGCCTACAGCTGAATCGAAGCCGTTTACCGTCTTTTCACTGACACGCCTTTCTCTGCTTCTGATTGGCTATTACCGGCCTTGCACTGACCTGCCCTTCTCTGCTTCTGATTGGCTAGTAGTCCTTAACTAGGAACTGCGCATGTGCAACTCCCAACAAAGATCATTTAGAGACAAGATCTATCACTCCATAGCTAAAATGAAGCCTTTAGCAATGTGCAGTATGACAAAACAATATGGTGTTTTTTTTGAAAATTAAACCAAGTAAACCTGTTCTGATACAACCCCTAAATAGGATTTTGAACCTGAAAATGAGCATAATACCACCTCTTTAACTTCCAGTGCAGCTCACAGTCCCAAACAGAGCGGGCTTTGCTTCAGTTTTTAGATGTTTATGTTGCAAAACTTCTGCTACATTATCACTCGTCACAGCTGTCTAGACCATTGATAAAAACATCTGGAACATCTGGAAAATTTTAATTTGCGTGAGTTTCGCGAGACAGCTTTTTACCTGACGAGAATTCTCGTCACAATTTAATCTGGTGAGATCTTGTGGCATGAGAATTCGTCACACCCCTAATCTTCTACCCCAGAGTAATTTTTCTTATTATTTTTTCCTTCTTTTGAGAAATTATATGCAGACTAGCAGCCAAAGTTTCTAGTTGTTGGGGCTGCCACCTGCATTCTCTTGTGTTATAATGGTTTGATCAGCTTCATAATGAAGCAGAATATATCCTGTAATATTTCATTCATAATTACTATGATGTTGAAATAGAAATGAGTGTAATTTCTGCAATTTAGCTAAACTACTTACAGGTACAATGGGTCTGCTTTTCTCCTGTTGTCATAATTTTGCTTAAATAAAATGTATTTGACTTTCAGTCATTGTGACAGGTGTTTGGCCAAAACAGTAATTTAACTTTATAAAGTGGAGTGGATGGAGTGTTACAAGGAGAAGAGTTGAAAACTTGAGAATTAAGCTTGTGGAGCAACAGCCACATGTGGATTCAGGATCATGCACAGGTACACGGCACAGTGGCCTTTGAAGTGGTCAGTGTAACTTTGCGAGTAATATAAAAGAACAGCAATTTTCCATTTCTCTGACTGGCTTTTGCTGAAAATCACATTTTATCCTCACTGCTTCTTTCCCTCAAGCCCCATGCTAAAATAGGTATGCTCTAGTCCTGATGTGAGTCAAGTCTTTGTTGTGTTGTTTTACAACAGAAAACTTCAAATGATCTATGGTTGTGCAAAATGCCAGTTTTATCCTGATATGAATCTCCCTGCAGACTCTGTAGTGTGATTGGTCTTATTTGTCTCCCTGTAACACATGCAGAGAGCAAATGTGATGACCAGTCACAGGTTTTGGGATTTTCTAGTTTAAATTTTGTCCTCTCAGTAAGACTCTATCTTGCTGTCCTTTTGTTTTCTAGGTAATTGGTTCTTGGCCCCTGTAAGCATAGAGGTGATTAACGCATCCTATACTTATAATTTGGGGAGTGGATCATACACAAACTGACAGGCTCTCAAACACTATTTATTTGTGTATTCACAAGCATAGGAAATGATTGCCGCCACATGCACTGTATTCTAAGGTCTGTGGTCCATGCTACTTGGCACAGCGAACAATCAGTTTGTTTACTCAACTGATTCATTTGAATGGATTTTTAGGTCTAAAAAGAGCTAATTTTTCTCTAATGTTTGATTGTACACAGATCAAGACTAAAATCAACAATGTTGACAGAGGTCTGATCAGTCATCAGCTTTCTGTTATGTGGAGTTTGGGTTCAGTAAGGGCGCATGGACAGAATGAAACCACTTGTTAACAGTGTGATGTCTATCAAACAATATTTAAAATCTCCTCAAAAAAAAAGCCAGTGGGATTTTTCTATTGGATTTTAGCTTATTGCAGAAAAGAAGCTCAGTGGCAAACAAAAGTGTATGGTAATTACACGTTTTGTTCAGCAAAATAATGCTCACAAATGAACTCCACTTTTATCATTAAAAAAAACTTCTTATTTTTTCACTTTTATGATTTTTGAACCTTAAATACAATCACCAGAAGTAAAAAGATAATGTTAGGCTATATACAAATTGTAGTTTTCGCACTTTTCCATGTTTTGATGTCCAGACAAGTAGTCTTATTTAGCCTCTTGTTAGCATTTCATTCTGGGTTTTGGGACTCATTCCTGCAGCACTCTTATTTGATTCCATATTAACGTGTTTCCTGTAAAAACACTATCTATGGAGGAGATACGCAAATATCGATTGCCGTTTACAGTAGCCAATAGTCCCCTGTCTCGGGCATGAAAACCTCCACCTTCCGGCCAGTCAGCAAAGCTAAAGAACTGTGATCTGTACGGCTAACTGAGCTAACTAGCTAACAGCAGCTACAGTTAGCAGCAGTTAACTGTTATTTTAAAGCTGTCCATCAGAAAACTCCTTATTAAATCAACTTTTGATGCAGAGCAGCCGGAGTACATATGAGGGAAAATCAGACAGGAAACGGAACATCGTTTGAGGTGGTCAATATCCAAACACACACCGATGTACCATGCTATTGCTAGCTAGCTAACCAAAGTGGTTTGTCAAACTTACATAAGCCCACATCATATTTTGTTTTACAGGATTTTGAGATGAGAATACAAAGACATTTTTTGCATTTCTTTTTTGCATACAGTTTATTGATGCACAGTATCACCGGAGATGTAATCTTAAAGGGTTAAAAGGGCGTTTTTCATTTCTTCTTGTCTCATCTCTTTAAACTTATCAAAAGCAGATTTTCATTAGACTTCAGTCCCAAAATTTTAATGTGACGGGTTGATGCTAAGATACATCCAGTATGTTGAAGCATAGGTTAGATCTATCCAACCAATAATCAGTCACAGGACAAATATGTAATGCATACAATTAAACACACACAGAAAAGCTTTGACCTATAAACTACGGCAAATAAAAACTGAAAGTGTATTGTAAAGGCACAAAGAATCATTTTGTAAAGTAGCCTGTGTGGCAGCATAGGTAATTGGCTAGACCTGTCGAGTATAGGGCGGGCTATTATCACAGTTGGGTTTTGATGTGCAAGAGTGTAAACATCGCTCACTTTCAGTTCAAAGTTCAGAGGAAGGTTACTGCTGTTCTTTTCCCCCTTTTCTGAAAAGTGTTGAATTGAGAGAATTGCTCTCATCCGTTTCCAGACATATGGTAGCATTTTTACAAGTTCTTGAAAAATTACTTAGCCTTTTGTATTTATTTGTCTCTGCATTTTTCCCCTCTCTGTATTTTATATTTTTCCATTACACCAACAAGATGAAGTAGGAGATGACATACATACAGAGATATTTTTACATTCCATGGGGCATTTCTGCAAGTGACGGTGAATCTGTGGCTACATTCTGACGCAACAAAGCACAACAGCCTGGATTAAGCACATGTTTACAAAAATGTCAAAACTGTTTCTGATCCATACAATATCCATTAGTATTGCCAAACAGAGAAGAAGCCCCATACTATGACAGTTCAACATGTCTGGAGTTTCAAATGCTTAGTGAAAAACATTGATCCATATGAGTTTTACTTGGCCTCTTTTCTGCAAGTGGTTACAGTGTGTCAGCCGCATGTGTTGTTGCATTGTGTGTGGTGCAGCTGTGCTCCGCTCAATGCTTTTGTCTGGTGACAGCATGCTGGGCTGGAGGAAGGAATAAATGCTGCAGGTGTGTTTGAGGAAACCTTTGGCGCGCATTCGAGGAAGGAGTGAGTCACTCTTCATGGTCATCATCCAGGACTGAGTCATGAAACTCTCATCTTTTAAGGTCTTTTTTCCCCTCACAATACCTCGCTCTATCTGACATCAAGCATAGGCAGACAGACAGAGAGCATTAAAGTACAAATAGCTCATCTCTTGTCAAATCTCTCTCCACCTGTCACTCTGCTTCTTTTCTCAACCCCTTCCACCAACTGTCTTGCTCTTTCTTGTCTCTTGATACATCTCTTCTAATCTCTCTCGTCATTCCTCTGCTCCTTCAATCTTTGGTCCATTCACTGTAGTTATCTCCCACAATGACACAGGAATAGGGTCTATGGCTTGGTCTCCATCTGTCAGGAAACACATGTCACCTGTGTTGCAGCAGTTTCAAAATTACACTGATTAGGTGAAACAGGACGCTACGTAATTAGCGAATGCTTCACTGTCCTCTCTTTCATGTGTTCCAGGCTGCCGAGCTGGCCCCGGCCCTGCAGGAGGACATGGAGGTGAAAGAGGCCATCCAGGGTGCCATCCAGGGAGAGAACGGTGAGGTGGTCCAGATTGTCACCTCTGTGGCCACCTGAGAGCACCCCGTCTGATTCGACACAGCCCAGAACTCTGCTCCACAGCATGGCCTGATGAGTCTCAGTGGAACAGAGGTTGATAAATGCACACAGTCTGACAAGTAATCAAGTCAGAAAGCCTTTTTTTAAAATAAATACTGAAGGTCACTGATGAAACACAGGGAAGAAGCATTTTTCAGTTTTGTGTTCCCCTGCAAACTGCTGAATGAATTGCCAACCAGATGTCAAGATCTGAAAATGTTCATAGAGAACTGGATACTCCAAAATCTACAGTGGTCTTTCTGGTGTTTTCATCACCAGAAGGAGCTGGCCCACTCCTGAATACACAGTGGGATTATAGTCTATCCACGGAGGATGCTGCTTATGCAGACCATCACCCTGCCACCTCATCAGCACACACGCTTGTTTACGTCAACTTTGGAAAATAGTGGAGTTATTTGGTGTTAAGCTTCTTAGCTAACCCCAAAACTCCCAGGAGGGTTTGTAAAACCATTGAACCCCACCTCAAACAACCAGAACTTTGCTCCTTTTCTCGTCATTTCTTGTTACAGTGGACTGCAGTGGAAAGTAGATTTAGCTGAGGACAGCATACTCTTCGTTGGGATTAATTTGGTTCGCTGTCACTCTCCATGATTCAGTCCATACTGTGTCTCCCGGCTGTGAGCCCTGCCTTCCTTTACTTTGCTTGTTTTCATATTTCTTTAGCCGCACAGCTTTGTTTGTTTGTTTGTTTGTTTGATTTATCTAATTGTAACATGCAGAAAGTTTTGGCTTTAATTTTGGAGGTAGAAGACCATGAAATAGAAGAGGTGTTGCCAGTGCAGTACCAGTTGCTGGTACTACACCATGGAAAGCTTGAAGTTGTTTATTTCCCTCAGTGTTGTCTCTGTGAAAGATACATTCATGTGAATAAAACATGTTTGTGGTTGCCATAAAAGTGTGTTTTTATTTTGTTTTCTTTCTGTTTTCTCTCTCTTTCCATCAACCGTGGTCGTCAAAATGGCTTCAAAGATTTCCAAGACATGACTTTGCTTTCATCCGCTACACATAGACAATGGAAGAGAGAAAGAAATGATAGTTTGGTTTTGAGGTCTTGTTTCATGTAGAGCTAATTTATTTAATATTTTTGAAGGAAATATGTATCATGTCAACTTCAATAACCATAGGCTTAGGCTACTGTATTGTCAGCAATCCCAAAAAAATAGACTGAAAAAATAAGCTTTCACTTGGTCTCAACATGGTTTTTGTAATGAATATGCTGGCTTCATTATAACATTTTCTGAACTGTAATTACATTTCTTTAAAATCCACTTTGTGCCCATTGCATGGCTGTGTTTTTCTGTCTGTAAAGAAAGAGAACGTGTTGTTGTGTTGCATTGGAGTGATGTTTTGGTAATGATGAACATCTCTGCAGTCAGCAATAAAGGACATAAGCGAGACACACTGAGGCTGTGTTGGTTTGGAGAAGTTTCCCATGCTCAGTGTGATGTAATAGTGTATTTTGGAGTAGGGGAAAGAACCAGGCGACAAAATGAACTTGATAAAACAACATCCACGGTCTTGGCTGCTTCCTCTTTTTTCCTTTCAGGCTGTTGTTGCTGTCTCTGTCCCCCTTTGCGCTGCTTTTTTATCTTGCCCACCCCCTCACCGGCTCTCATGCGTATTCCTCTTCTCCCACTCAACTCGTGTTTTCCTCTTTCTCAAGTGGAAGCCATGTTAAAGTCCTTAAACTCCCCTTTAAATTATACACTAAGCTGGGCTAAATTGTAGTGGCGTAAACTGGTGGTTCCAACCCATTGACATAATCTTCACATAGCTGTGTTCAAATGTTGGCTTGGACAACTGTCTCCCCCCAGTGACCCCTCCATTAAATCTTGGACTTGGAAGGGAACGGACCCTGTTCATAGCAGCCTTTTTCTCTTTACTTTTACAACCCTGGGCTCCATCCAGGAGCTGGAGTGGTTGCCATAGTGATGGGCCCTTTCTCATGCTGCCCCTAAGATATCCTGCTGAAAACAGAAGTGAATGATAGATGGAGAAATGAGATTGTTTGGAAGCAGAATGCATGTGTGGGGAGAAGGAGCGGAGTGACGGATAGAGACCAGGCGGTGTACCTTTCCTTCACTCTCAGTAGCTCTGTGTTCTCCTGCAGTGATGGCACCTGCAGCAACCCTCAAGTACCAACCAAGTCACTCGCCCTGTTTTTACTTGGGCTGCATATTTTCCCCTGCTCAAACTTTTTACAAGGCTGGAGGAGTTACCTCAGTATGTCCAAAGATGAAGGGCACATATTTGTTGGAGCAAAAATGTCCAAACGCAATGTGTCTCCCGGATCATAAATCAGCAATCGTTAATCTTGGGAAAACAAAGCTCCCCACAGCCAGGATTTATATTCTTGCCAAAGGACAGATTACACATGTCACAGTTTGCAGCTTACAAACATTGTGTTTTATTTCTCACTCGCTGAATATTCCAAAAGGTTCACTTGCAAAGAATTGCAAACCTTGCCTAAAGAAACATCCCTGTCCTTTGATTGTGCTTCCTGTTGCATGTGAGCACAGGGTATTTAGCTTTGTAGACATTAAATTATGGGGATTCTGAATGTATGTGTGACTCCATTCTTAAATTGGACGGCAGCATGTCTTGGACCGGAGTCAGGGGAAGTTTAGCACCACAGCTGTTGTTACATGCATCATAAAATGGCTAGGTCTGCTGGATGTCAGATTTTGGGATGTAGAACCTGCAAAAATTGTAGCTAGAGTCAATAATTTAACTGCCAGTAAAAGTCATTGCTACGTAAAGGATGACAAGCTGCTAAACGGATCTTCCTTGATCATCCTTTTTTGTTTTGCTTTGCATATTATTTAATATATATTACGTAAATATTCTGTTTTTATGGTAAATCTAAAAATAAGCAGTACAAACAATATAACAGATAATAAATGAGGGGTGATCCAGAAAGTCCCCTAAGAATGGAAAGATGAATGAACCTACTGATCTCATGAAAACTACAGTAAAGACTGTATACTGTAATGGAGTAGTACACAGATGTAAATATACTGTAGTGTAGAGGTACGATAACGTTTAACATCTAAGTAGTAGAACATTACAAAAGGCTACTTAGTAAAACTTTTGCAAACTGGAAAAAAAACCCATACTACTTTTCACCACTGGTAATCACAACTTGTTACTTAAGACCAAACACATTTTTTAAAATGACTAATGGGCATATTTGCAGGACTTTCCCTGAAGACATTACATTTAAGGGCAGCGTTAAATTGGACCTAATACAGTATATCTGCATCCTATATATGCTGCAATAATATTTGTATGCATGCAGAATGGTATTTTCTTTTCTGCATCAACTATCACGAGGCGTTTTAAAGAGCTGTGCACACTCTGAATGTTGGTGATATATCACCTGGAAACCGCGGTCTGCAATAGACGAATAGCTCCTCCCATTCAGTTTCTTTTAACTGAAGCTTCAAAGATATGAACGATAATTCATTTAGAACCAGCAGGGAATTCCTTTCCCCATAAAAAGTAGTAAAAACTGGGTACGCGGTGAGGCTGCGTGGATGGGAGGTACTCCTGCAGTTTAGGGACCAGATGTGAGAGAGAGGAGGGGTACACACTCATCCAGACAACGGCTACAAAATGCTTCCTGGTCACAGAGTTTGATAACAACAAACTGCAAAAGTTGACCGCTCGGACCTTCGATTGAATGCTTCTACTTTTAGCGTCGACGGTAAGTTGAAAATGTAATGGCGTCAGTCATTGTTAATTGAAATGCGCATTACGTCCATGAACTGAAGGTGAACTTGAGACGTGATGACGTGCGGGGGGGTAACCGCTTTTGACGGGCTCACGAGACTGTGCTCTTTGATCTGCGGCTTCTCTGCTTCACTCTTTATGATGATTACTTGGATTTGCCCGCTGGTATTAGCACTAAAACCAATCCGACCCAGCCAACCGTTGTGGTAGGTTTTTCAATAACCCCTTACCATATGATAAAAGAAGAGTTTAAAGATTACAGAAAAAAGTGATTTAGCCTTCGGGATTTACACTTTCCTCCCTCATAGGTTGTTATTGAATCTTATAGGTAACCAGTTAAAGGCAAAACCTGAGACCTTCATTCATAATAGTTATAGTCTAATTCAGTGGTTCTTAAACTTTTTCATGTCAGGACCCCTAAACTGACACAAAGTAGACCACAGACCCCCATTTGATAGGGGGGTCGACAATGTGATAGGCTTTTGGCTTTTAGATGTTTTATTCCAGAAAGTGTATGAAATCCATGACCAAAATAGTCATGCATTCAGTCACTATGTTACTTATGGATGGAATTATACTGAAAATAAATCACTCCCCTTTTTGCTGGGGACCCCCTGGAACCCCCAATGACCCCTGGGGGTCCCCAGACCCCAAATTGAGAACCACTGGTCTAATCCATTCAGCCTCACTGAAGGTAGCCCTCTTTATCACTACCTGTGCACAGCCTGGGAGTGGGGGGGGGGGGGGGCTTGCATGTCCTTCTTAATAACTTCCAAACTAGACATAATGTAATTTAATTGAAGGAGATATTATCAGTGTTTGGTGGGTGTGTTGTGGCGTTAATATGGGTGGGTGGGTTGCAAGAAATTATGTTCGTTTTATGAGCCGCAGTGCCATAAACATCAGATGTTGCTTGCAGATATTAAGTGTCTGAACCAGAGGCATTTATAAAATGAGCACTGTGGTCTGTTTGAGCAAGTGGCTGTAATGCATTATATTAGAAATGCAAATTTCATTACAAGTTATTACAAGCCTACTGTTTACTGTAAGCTGCAGGAAATTTAATAAGATCAACGCCGCCTCTTTCCAAAGATTCCTGGAAGACTTTCATACAGTACAATACTTTTGTGGGTTAAAAGGAAAATTAAGCACCATTTATGTGGATGCCCTGTCAGTGTTGATGGTAAATGCAGTCAACTGAAGCAATAAATTCCTTAGTGTGTGCTATATTGTCAGAGGAAGCTGAGTTCACCTGCTTGTGGAGCCCATAGACTGTATAAAAAAGGAGTGGTGGAGCCGTGTCGGCAATGCCTACATGTACCAGGATGCATTCCGTGTGGGCTTTTGACGCACATGCCCACCCAGCGGGGCACTGCAGCTCTTAGCTGGCTAGCTGCTGGCTGCTAATCAAAGTTGCACAATGTTGCCAAGCAACTGAATTGTTCTTGAATTTCTTTTTCACATGTAGCTACAGTATCATTACTGTCAGGGCATGTCTATCAAGTAAATTTAAATACAGCAGCAACACACACATACTGGCAGAACGGACTGCCGTATAAAAATAAAGTTAATGCTAGTTGAGCTAGTACTACAGTAGGCGTATAAATTACCACTACTACTGGCTTCAAATGAGGCTTAATGTTCACATTAGTCCAACATAACCCCAGAAAGTGTTATACAATTCAATTCAACTCAATTTTATTTATATAGCGCCAAATCACAACAACAGTTGTTGCTTTTCATAAAAGAGCAGGTCTAGACCATACTCTATGATGTTATTTACAGAAGCCCAACAGTTCCCACCAAGAGCAAGCACTAGGCGACAGAGGCAAGGAAAAACTTCCTTTTAAGAGGCAGAAACCTCGAGCAGAACCATGGCTCAGGGTGGAGCGGCCATCTGCCTCGACCGGTTGGGGTGAAAGAGAGAGAGGGAGAGAGAGAGAGAGAGCGAGAGAGAGAGGACAGGAGAGGAACAGAGAGAAAAAGAGAGGGATGGAAGGAGAGAGAGGGGAGGGAGGCAGCCTACACAATATACACACACACAGGTACAGACAGTAAAGGTGATGTTGCTATACACTAAGTGAAAAACGGTACAGATATTTATAGTAGTGTTAATGATAACAATCGTAATGTTAATGATTATAATAACAATAATAACAATAG